ATGCAGACGACTATAACATAACTCTTACATAGAGGGTATTTTATTAATTCCAGCAGTTAAAAATGTACAAAGTTCCTTGTAATAATCCATTCATTCTGTTCTCCCTTGATTCTTTGGAGTAAGCCTGCACAATTATTCAAATCCCAGCTTTTAGCCATAGCATACACCTCGCCATGGGGCTGTGCCTCTGTAATCTTGCTTTGGTCTTGCATGTCAAATGGAATTAACTCCCATAAGAAATGTGTGCGAAGACAACCCAAAGTGTCTAATCCTGCTGCTGTCTTAAATTTCTGAAACTCGGAGCTGTCATCTTTTTCTATTGCTTTGTTGAAGTTCTCACTTATGCTTCAGTCCATCCAAAGCTGAAGTTTAGGAGAATTTGCATTTTTATATATTTTTTTCAGTTGTGCTCTCCCTTGGCCTTTTCACATGTTCTCTTTGTAGAAGGATTTTTCCCCCCTTTAAATTCCCAGACCATTTTATACAGGGTGGAATTTCAATAAGAGGTGAATTCATTTTTTTTATTATTATTATTCTGAGAGTATTCTTTTGAAACATACACAACACTAGTTGATTCGCAAGCTAAATTTAGACAGATTTAGATGAGTCTGTGTGTGTGTGTGTGTGTGTGTATGTGAATGTTTCTCTGAGTATTGTATGAGAGGGGAGAAGAAATAATGATGTCATTATTACTATACCTTAACCACTCAACCTAGCTAATCACAAAAACTAATTTTGTCTCAATTGAATCTCAAACTGCATCATCTCCCTCTTGAATAAAAATGCTTGATGAAATGAGCTTGGTTAGTCTACTTGTATGTTGTATTAAGAGTAAATTAGTTTGATGAGTAATTTCATACGCTTTCTTTCTTCTCTAGGGGGCCTACCATTTAAAAAATGCTGAGATTGCCCTCTTCCTTCTTCAACAAACCCTGAACTCCATCTACTGCCTCCTGCAATTCCTAGACGTGAGGAAGTTGAAGAATACTCAGTATCTGGAACACAGAGCAAGCACTTGATATTTGTTGAATTTCTTTCAAGAGTAAGAACAGCTTATTCTATCTTTCTTAGTGACTTATCCTTTTGTCTCAATTTACAAATTATATCATTCTGTCTGGAAATGAGAGTTGCCTAGGTTTCAGTAAACTTCCCTCACAACCTGTGTTTTCAGCCTGATAATTACACGTGGCGCCTGTGTTTAAATCACCAGTTTCAGCCTTGTGGTTTTTCGAGGTGTCTTGACTAAGTGGGGTGCGAAAGGATAAAATTGTAACTTAGTGTGGTGGGTATTTAATAAGTGGTAAACCGCCGCATTTTCCATGCAAAAGTTAATTAAGGCCACTAGCTGACCGGGCTTGTGCAGAAAACATGTTCATGGTTTAGCCATGAAAACAGTCACAATAATGCTCAGCTGAAAAATAATGGCCTTAAGAGACATTTTTCTCTGCTCATTCCTGAATGTTTATTTTTATTTTTTTCTAATAAAGGGATTGTCGCATTTCTGAGGAAATGCCCAGTCGCACCAGCTTCTTTTGAGACTTGAAAGTTTTCCTTATGCCTGGCCACTGGAAATTAAAATGAGAGTGATGGGAGGGGACAGCCCCAGGACCAAATTGCGTTTTTAATGCCGCCTGCAAGAATGCCTCTTATAAAGTCATCATCCATTGTGTTCTCTCAAATCCCTTTGCCTAGTTAATAATGGCCTTTAAGATGTGGATGCACTAGTTTGGGCACAAAATTAAGTTAACTCTCTAATATCAAATAGTTTATTTCATCAAAATAGGTTTTGAGTTTGTAGGAGAGCCTGCCTTTGTTGACAGACAATATAACCTGAGTTATGTTTCTGTGTGCTCATTGTTTCTTCAGGATGAGAGTACTGGAATAAGATGATATATTTTATTATACAATATATTACTCTGACTAACAGGATTGAAAATGTACATTAAATATAAATGTCCTTTCCACAGCTGGATGATGAAGGCAGGTTGTCTTATCAAATATTTTAATGCTATTCTAGGATCCAGTGATAGGTAGTGTAGCTGAAACAGGTGAGAGCAATGTATCAGGCAGATGTGATAAAGGTGTAACCAACAAATGTTATCAGAGAGGCCAAAGGGATGTTGGGGCTTTGTTAGGCTATTGATTTCACGTTGTTTTTTTTAATGGAGCAATAAGAATTTTGTTTGAAATCATTATGGTAATGGTCATACTGTTATCTTGGTCCATAAGTCCTTCCATTTAATTTTATACTATCCTATTAGTATTGGAGGGTATTAAGACCAGGTACTACAATAATCCATCTTCTACATTCCCATCCATCCTTATTCAGTTAGTATCTCTAGGCACAGTTCCAGCAGAATTTTGAGCTCAAATGAAGAGTTCATCCATGGCAGGACTTGGTAGAGGAAACATGGCACAATGGGACATATATTCTTCCCACTTTCCAAGATCTATACCTCCTGTCTTGCATATGCCATACAATAACCAAATAGAGATCTTATTACAGTAAGAGAGACCTAAAAATGCAGGTCTAAATGTGAAATCTCTCCCTGTGTATCCTGCCCACATCTGCATCAGTATATCCTGGACAAAATTGCCCTGAAGTTGTCATCCCCACAAATTCTCACTGTGGCTCTTTTAACCTAAGATGAGCTGACAAACATCAATCTCTGCCAGGAATAGTTGGGTTTTCAGGCTCCATTTTTCTCATTGGCTACTTCAAATGAATACCAGTGTTTGCTGATGTGTTCCTCCTCCTTTCCACTCTCCTTTCATTTTTTTGTTATTTGTTTTAATTTAATTTGAAATGCCCAGCCTCTGACTGCAATCAGGTGAGGAAGCTCGGGAGACTTCCAGCAAGAGCAAGCCTCCTGAAAAGGGTCTTTTGGACACAACAGAATGAGCCTTTATTTATTATCTCAGGAATAACAAAACTGGGAGAGAGAAAGATGCTGCAGTGGCCGTCCTTTCAAGAGACAGCTAACTTGGTGAAACACCCCTGTCCCCAGGGGACGAACAGACCGCCCCTTGGCTCAAAGTCTTCCTGCTGTCCCCGGCTGCTGGCTCTACAGCCAACAAAAGCAAGGCTAACATAACATGCAGAGAAAGTGTCAATAGAGACCCTCTCCGGGAGCCTAGCTTTTGGAAGTGGACTGGCTTTGGAGTCCATCCAAAAGCTTGGGGAAGTTTTCACTGGCCATGGCCACATGTCTACCACTATAACTTCCTTCTGCGAGATGGAACATGAGGCTTATTTTTTTTTTCACGATTCCTTAGGGAACGGCCTCAGTTTCCCCATGCACCAAATAAAGATTGTTGGAATTGCGTGAACATTGGACTTTGCAAAGAGTCATTTGGATTCAAATGCTACCTTATGAGCTGAGGACATTACTCCCTCTCTAACCAACCCTCAGTTTCTTTCTTTTTCTTTTTTTTTCTTTTTTAAAAATATATTTTATTGATTTTTTTTTTTACAGAGAGGAAGAGAGAGGAATAGAGAGTTAGAAACATCGATGAGAGAGAAACATCGATCAGCTGCCTCTTGCACACCCCCTACTGGGGATGTGCCCGCAACCAAGGTACATGCCCTTGACCGGAATTGAACCTGGGACCTTTCAGTCCACAGGCCTATGCTCTATCCATTGGGCCAAACCTGTTTCGGCGCCCCTTGGTTTCTTTATTGGTACAAAGGAAAGCAATATTTTCCTTCCTGATAGTGGTGATCAAATGAAGTACAGAGACGTATTGTTGAGAAAAATACCAATATTACGTTTATGCCAATGGAATGTTTGGTGTGTAGAGCTCATGAAACCACAGATGCCAATGTGCATGAAATACAGGAAGGATATATAAATAGAAGATACTATTATCATTTTCAAAATAGTAGGTCATTTATCTCCACAACAGGAAAGGGTGGTGATCCTTACTTCCAAATTCAAGCCTGGACCTACCACCTGAGGTTCTTCTGCAAAGAGGAGAAGGCTCATGCTGCCCTTCTACACCTCAGAAACGTGGCCAAACAGCTCGGTGAGAGACGATGGAAGGCAGCATCCCCAGAATCCTTCATGGCAGAGTTACTACAGGTAAGCAATTGTCTCACATAGTTCATCTTCATGTGTTGTGAGTTTCTGGGGAAGGTTGAGGAAAATTCAAAAGTTTGTGATAGTCTGTGGTTTGGTTATTACAGAAGAGAAGTAGATGAAGTTGAAAATGGACAGCTCTATCCTAACTGGCTAGCAGACTGTAACCAGCATCTGGCTATGTGATGTTTCCAGGATGTGGAGACATTAGATTTCTATGGTGAGTCGCCAGATGGACGTTTGGTCAATGCAAGTGCTTCATCCTGCCGCATGTCTGCCTAGGACTGGTGAGTCTTCTTAGGAAGCAGAGGTAAAGCAGAGGGAGAATGAAAGGGATCATCAACACTCTGGCCCAGACATGTGTGTGGTGCTCTTTATCACTAGCATTTAACCCAAGGGTTGGCTTTGTTGAAAGTAGCCTGACTGAAAATAGTTGTGGAAGGCTGTGACCATGCCATTTTTTTTTTAAAGGTAATACTCCATTCCCTTAAACCAGTGTTTCCCAAACTTTTGACATATGTGTACCCCTTCTATAATTTTCGTAACGCTGAGTACCCCTCCTACTCATGAGAACGTAGAATTAGGCACAGCTAAGTATGGTGCAGTGCATATCCCCACCAAATTCCAGTGCAACGCGTGCCCCCACCAAACTCTTCCTGTACACCTGGGGGTAATGCGCACCACCCTTTGGGAAACACTGAGGAACCAATTAAGAACCCATCACAGTGCCATATGCAGAGTGAACACCACACTCTGTGGCAGCAAAACAAACTTGCCAGGTATTTGACACTTGCCCTTAAAGTATTGATAGAAGGCCCTGAAAGTGCTGCCGTCTAGGGGATGGGCAGCATACAATGGGGCGTGTGTCCAGCAGCCTGTGGAGTAACCTGAGCCATTGAACATGTTTCCTCTGCCAGGGGAGGAGGTGTGGCAGTGCTGGAGATCCAGACAACAGTCTGAATTGCCTGCTGGCATCCGGGAATTTCCCAGGTGCTTTTGTAACACACATCACCCACCTATTTGTGTGGGGGCCTGGGGAGTAAAGAGGCAGGTAGTAGAAGCTTCCTGAGCTCTGTGAGCTTCTGGAAACTCATCTGTGAAATGGGCGAGAGCTTTCTGACTCTCAGAGCTGTGAGAAATGAATGAGATAATGTAGAATAGGGGTGTCGAACTCAATCAGAGAAGGGGCCAAAATCTAAAATCCAGCCTAAAGCGCGGGCCGAATGGTTTACTGAACAGTCATAAACTGTCATTGTGATGGAAACGCAGCGGAGTGCAGTGATGACAGCGCGGTGCGGGCCACATTGCCAGGCCTGGCGGGACGGATTTGGCCCGCGGGCCTTGTGTTTGACACATGTGATGTAGAAGAAGCCTTCCCCCAGGTGTCTGGCTCAGAGGAGGCAATGGACAGAAAGGAGCAATACTTATTAGGAGGAAGCGCATAGCTCATGTCCTTGGAAAGGGGCCCATCCCTCTCTCTGCCTCCTCCTTCCAGCCTTTGAGGCATTTCTATAGTAATTGGCTGCCAGGGCTCGGCATCTATCTGTAGAGAAATACATTTTTGTAAAAGGGTTCTGAGGTGGTGGTGTGAGGCGTTTATTAGTGATCTAAGGCAACATACGTTGCCTCTGGTGTTTATTGACTGTTTCTAGCTGGAGGCTCAGAACTGCACAGGCACTAGCTGGTGAGTTACTGTTGGTTGCTACTCTCTGGACCAGCAGGGACTGGCGAGCTCTTAGAGGACAGAGTGCCTTGCATCAATCAACACTGACCCCTCTGGCTGAATATGTACAGACATAAAGAGGCTCCCAAATTAGCCTCTGTTCTCCTTAGCTGGATGAATGAAGATGAAATGCAATCCCTGGAGTGGGAGAAAATGTGTGTGTGGAAGACTGAGCCATACTCTAGAAATTCAGGCCGATCCCCTCCTGCACTCAAAACAAACCTGAAATACTTCTATTTTCTACGGGCCTATTAAAGTATATATGTTTAATAAATTTGACATCATAGGAGATGAGGAAGGGAATGGAAGATGTGGGAAGAGAAGAGAATGAACAGGGGAGATAATACCCAGAACTACTTGTTTGATGAATGAATTAAATGGATCAGGGTGGCTTAGGACCAACTCCAACATTTTTTCCAAAGTGTGTAATGATGAAATGGACTAATGTGTTGGGCCGAAATGTTTAAGGTGTGGTAATAACAAGCTGATAAAAAAAAAAATTTTTTTTTCAGAGAAGAAGGGAGAGGGAGAAAGAGAGAAACATCAATGATGAGAGAATAATTGATTAACTGCCTCCTCCAAATCCCCCACTGGGCGGTGGAACCTACATCCCAGGCATGTACCCTTGACCAGAATCAAACCCAGAACCCTTTAGTCCACAGGCTGATGCTCTATCCCCTGAGCCAAACCGGCTAGGGTGAATTTTTAATACTACCCAGAAAAATGTCATGCAATTTAAAAATTTTCCTTTGAATATTAATTTACCTAAGAATGCCAGAGATCTGGCTAACCCACAAAGAAGTCAGAAACCATGTAAAAGTTGCCCTTCCATGGATATGGCGAGGGTGGCTTACAAATAATGCTGTTGTTTTTTTAAAATGTTCAGTGTATATTCATGAGTTCTTCTTCTCCTTCCTCCCTTGTTGTAATTTCTCATTTGATCCAAAAAGGGAGGAAAGAGAAGGACTCCCCGGGTGAAAGCACAGGTAGGCCTCCTCACATTGCTTAGGTTTTCTACAGGGTCCCATGGCTTTCATTTCAATGCTCCGTTGAGAGCCATTAGTATTAAAAACTCTGGTGAGGAAATAGTAAACCATGAGCTTCCCCCTCTATGTTAAGACATCTTCTTTGCTTGCTTTCTACAAGGCATAAGACCTGTACATTGAATACTGTTCCAGGTGGGTATGTGACAGATCCACACCCAGGAGGGTGGAGTCTTCCCAAAGCCAACTAAGCCAGATAGTATGAATAACTCCATGCAAACCTAACCCTTTCTCTGCAAACCCCTGTTTCTACCAAAGCCAATCCAGAAGCTTGGTTTGCAGCTATCCATGTACAAATAGGTCACCACACACACACACACACACACACACACACACACACACACTTGAACAATGAAGAGCTATGAGAATTATTCTTTTCTCAGAATTGTCAGAACCTCACAGGATTATCTTTCTTCAAGGAACAGATTGTGAACCTTAGAGGCTTATGGTGGCCTGGATACACTTGAGGATTCCCTTCGTCTTAATATTAATAATTAGCATTTATGTGGCACTTAGTAAGTGCTAGATGCTATTGTACACACTTCACATATATTGTTGCCTTTTAGATTCCCCCAAGAACCCTATGAAATAGGTCCTATTGCAATCCCTGTTTATGATGAGAAATTAAAGGCAAAAGCGGTCAAGCCACTTACTTGTCCAAGGTGTCTCTAAGTGGTAGAGCTGGGGTCCGAATCTGCACTCTTTGCCATGCTTACTCTGCCCAGGACTCTCACTGGGGAGCCTGGGAAGAGAAGGTGGACTCTGCCAATAAACTGTTTCACTTTCATTCTGGGGAGAGGGCTTCTAAAGCAGTCCACATATGGAGAGCTTACTTAGAATGTCTCCTTCTTCTGGGACCTCTAGGTTCTCCCTCGCAAACAAACTCTAGGATCAGTCTCCATATTTAAAGCGTTTTCCTAATTAGGATTCACCTCTAGAAGGGCCCTTAACAGTATAGATTCAGGAAGTGGCTTTGGGGTTCACACCTCTGAGGCCAGTAGCTCCCAGGACCCTCTGTCTATTGGAGTGGTGCTTGCTCTTAGCAGCAAAAAACACAGAAGAAAATGTCAACCTGAAGGGGTGTGTCATGTAAAATTGTGAGCCTTCAGGAATGCCAGGCAGTGCCTCCATTTGCTTCTGTTTGCAAATTTATCTGGAAAGGACCTTTGACATTTATATTACACAAAGATACAATCTAGTTTCTCCTCTTGTGTCTCTTCCCCCTCACTCCCACTTCCTGCCCCGTCCCTTCCTCCCACCTCCAATACCACCAAGCATTCTGAAAGTCCTTTAAAGTTTTCAAAGTGCTTTCATATACATACTCCATTCTTTATGTCAGGTCAGGGCAACATTTTATTGCATTTGGCCAAAGGCCATTTGAAACTTAAGGAGAAAAAGGTAGACACAACATAATCTTTGGGGGGGGGGGAGTGGATTAGAACAGAAAAAAAACATTAAAGTTAGAAAGGATTTATGAGTGTGTGTGTATACACTCATAAATCCATATATATATATATATATATATATATATATATATATATATATATATATATATGGCTGACTGACCAAATATTCCACATGTTTTTCAAAACAGTTGAAGTTTAGATAAAAAACAACTAGAAGATATAAATAAATTATTTAAATAGCATTTATGCATTTTGATTTTAAACAGCTAATATATACTCAACACAGAAAAATTGAAGGATGTGAAAAATCAAAAATATAAACATTTATAATCTCATTATACAGAAAAAAAACACCATGTTTAGAGTATAATCCTCTAGTGTTATGTTATACAAGCACACACATACAATGGAGTTGGAAATTTATTCATGTGCTGCTCAGATATGCTGAAAATAAATGTTGCCTTCTAATTTCTGAAAACACTGATCTGGCCCATGGAATTCCACTTCACTGAATTGAAAAACACAACAACTTATAATCCATTAACAATATTTCAGTCACTTCTGGTGTGTAAGTCTCCTTTCATTTTAACATTCAATCCATTCAAAACATGATGGTTTATAGAGTCTTCTTTCAAAAAACAAATCTCTTTAGGAAAATGCGTAGGCATTCAGATTGTTCCCCAACCTCTAATTTTCTCTTCCTCAAAATGATGTCTATGTCTTCACAGACAGGATTAGAGTTAACACAGACTTCAACTTATAATGAATTATAAAAAAGGCAAAATTATAAAAAGCCACTCTTCTGAGATGACCAATGTGAGAAGACCTCCCTCCCTCCACACCAGCAAGGCTAGGACTCCTGAGGTGCCAAGGGAGGGTGACACCTCGGAGCAGATATTTGTGCCCCACCTTCTCCACCCTAAGGGACATCCCTGCTGAGGGACTTTCTCTGTCTCTGTGGAAGCAGAGGAAATGGGGTGCTTGAGGATTTGTCCTGTCTCTGGCCCTGCAGGTCTCTGGCTGCTCTTTGCCCCACCGGTACCAATGGCAGGTTCAACTTGGGACCTGCTCTCCTATTGCTTGGTCAGTTCTCTCACAAAAATCCCAGATGCCTCTGACTCATATTTGGTGATGATTTTGAATTTCTGTCGTATAGTGTCACCAGTTCCTCTCCTGGAAAGCCCTCCCAGAGTGTCTGCTGAGGAGGCACCTTGTCCCCTTGCTCAGAGCCCTCTGCTCAGCTCATTTCCCCCCAGTCTTCTCTTGGACATAAAGGTATGTCTGGGTCTTGCCCATGTCACAGAGAAATGCAAAAACCATATAGAATATACATTTTCCATCTTCCTCTTCCTACCTGAGTGGCACCTAAGTGGCATCCCCCATGATGCATCCAATTGAGATCATTTTAATTTCTGCCTGAATTCATGGAATTAATTTAACATAAATTAATTCAATTTTTATTGAATGGATGCAAGGTCAAAGGAAAAAAGGAAGAGGTGCCAAAAAAACTTTTGTAAAAGTGGCAATATGTATTTTGTGTCTTGTTCCAAGTTGATGCTTTTCCTTCATAAAGACATTAAGCCCCCGAGGAAGAGCTGTACCTCTTGAGGCCAATATTTATTTATGTCACTCATTTGATTCAGTGATAATGGCTTCTGCTAACTTCATGTCTGTAATCTAGGAAACTTTTTGGTGAAAACCAGCAAACAGTAAGATGTAGAGAACCAGCTTGCATAGTTGATTGAAAGTTTGCATATCTAAATTATCACTCATTTCATTTTTTTTTTTAAATAGCACTCTTTATAATTGTTAGGGAGTTTGAACATTAGGCTTTTGAAACTGGTGCAAAGTGAAACAGCAGAATCTTCAACATTGAGAAGATAAGAGGCTTCCAGTTAATAAAGAAGTGAGAATTATGGAACTTTATAGCCATTTAATTATGTCATTAAGGTTAGAGACGGCTAGCAAGGGGTAGCGGAGAGGAAGCAGTGGGCCACCTGTAGATGGAGTCTGACCTTTGAGGGCACTGCCTATGCTCAGATTGACTCACTAGTTAAAAATATATTTAATAATTTAGTTGGAATGACATCAATGCGTAGTTCCCTAATGGATTTTTATTTTACTTTATTTTTTCTTGTTAGAAGTGCCAAACACAGACAGGTTGCCTCTGCGTTTTAAAAGGTAAAAAAGACAATTTTCCTTCTGTGTGGTCAGCAGCATGGTCATGCTTCTGGTCACATAAGCTGTCGTGTGAGGGGAGGGGAAAATAGTAACACCTTAGCAATACCAACTATAGCTGGTATTTATAGACTTAATGATTTAGTCCTATGTACCAAGGCCTTTATTTGCTCTCATTTAATCCCTACACCAAACCTATGAGGTAGGACTACATATTTGTTTTGCAAATGATGGAAACTGAGCCTCAGTGATATTAACTAACCTTTTCAGATATCTTCAAAAATGCCCTCTGCCAAGTCAGAAAACTTTTAAATTGACCAGGTAAACTCTTGAACCCTGGGCCCCAGGATAGCTTATCTGGTCTAATCAATCACCTACAGGGATTTTGAGTTTCTACAGACTCTACTGACCCCTGGTCCTGCCACACCCTCCCTGTGGCAGACCAGGCCCCATCCTGTTTCTTCCTGTACTTTCCAATCTGGTCTTGTTTTTACATTTTAGACTTTCTTCACTGGCTTTTTAATTTCTCTCTATTGACTCCAAGCACCTTTCAAAAGGAAAGGTACTTTCAACAAGTGGACACACTGTTTCAATCATTAGGTTCGTCTTTTCTCCCTGGCAGCATTAATTGCTGTGTTGTGCCTCCTTGTTATTTCACCGCTTTTCTTGAGGTTGTGGAAGGGCATGTGTAGCATACTCTGAGAAAGAGTTTTGAGGTCTCTTCAAATTCGTTTTGCCTTTTCCATTCGTATTAGAGTATATTTCTGCTCATCCATGTAATTTTATTTTTTTCAGGGATACACTGATTTAATTTTTATAGTGGGTATAAACATAAAACAAATTTTGGGAAACTTTACTCACATTACGATCCCCCTTCTTTCTTTCTGATTTCAAATTCCATTCTTTGTTGTCCCTCAGTATCATTTAGATGCCATGTTTTTGTGTTGCCATGATGTATTGCTCAGTTGTAGAATTTATTGTAAAGTAACATA